CAGTCTAGGTCTTCAGAAGTGTTTGATTCCCTATTTCCATATGACTTTTCACTCACATTGCCCCTCCAACCTTGAGTAGGCATGATGAAGTAACAGCCCATAGTCACAGGAAAGGATGGAAAATGGAGCCACAGAGGCATGAAGTCATTTAATAGAGACCATGCTGGGTGCTCTGACAAGGGACAGGGGGTAAGTACAATCGAGCTCAATGGGTGGTCACTGCCACCCTAGGAGAGGAGTCTGTCAGAGGAGGTTCCTCTGGCACCCCAGGCTCCAGCCTTACTCTTTCTTGCTGCCCCTAGCAACACTCCATGGGCCTGTCGCCATGACACCAGCTTGCAGAGGGACATAGGGAGAAAGGGAGCAGAGGATCTTCGGGGCAGAGGCTGCCCTGGAACAGAGCAATGGAGCTCTTGACATGACAGCTAGCCAACCTAGCCCAGGATGGGATGGCCATCCTCAGCATGGGTGGGGCCTTTGCATACCCATGGTCATTCCTCAACTCCCAGGTCACCTCAACTCCCTCCACTCCTGTCTCCTTGTACACAATTCCCTAGCTGCTTACAGGGAGCCCTCAAGCAGTGCCATCTTCCCAACTTGCCATTGCCCATGAGATCAGTATATTCTCTCTCTTTTTCATATATGAAAGAAACCTTGGAAGTCCAGCCCAGCCCTCTAGGAAACCTCCCAAGAGTGCCCCAGTGCCCATCAAGCCTTCTTTCCAGTCTTTGACTTTGGGTTGTGCAAGTCCTGGTCAGGGAAGGGTCCTAACGTTCTTGTCGCCTTGGCCTCTTTGGGGTTCCAGAGATTCCTGCCTAAGCAGGCAGGCTCAATGGGAGGTCCCTCTGGCTGGGGCCCACGCAGCAGGTGGGTTTCCATTTTAACACAACCAAGTCCTTGACATGTCTCCAGAATGGGGTGAGGCTAGGTGAGTGGCCTCTCTTCCCCTGTTCCGGCACATGTGCAGTGCAGGTGGGCACAGCTGATCCCTGCAGGCCATGGAGCTAGACTGAGGTCACAAAGGCCTGGCTACACCAAGGTTCCCGTCAAGATTCTGTGGGAGGAAAGTGGGCCATGTCCTGGAGGGAGGGGGCCAGGTCTTCCTCTGTGGCCTCAGATACCATGGACACAGGCAAGAGGAGGTGCCAGGAGGGCAGACAGAATAGGGAAGCAGCAGGGAGAGACAGCAGTTTAGGCAAGGGAGAGAGTGGGGAGGAGGGATGAAGTCCCGGGAGAAGGGACGGGGAATAAGAATGGGAAGAGGGAGGGAGAGATGGAAGATGGAGAGGGAGAGGGAGGGGGAGGGAAAAAGACAGAGAAAGACACAGAGACACAGAAAACAAGAGAAACAGGGAGAAGGTACATTCAGAAACAGAGACAGGAAAGACATACAGACCACACATTGAGATGTAGAGATAGAGAGGCATGCAGAGGAAGCTCTGAGGATTTATGAAATGGGGAGATGGAAGGAAGATGAGACTGTAGTGTCTCCTGCTCTAAGAATCTCCTGCTGGGCTAACCCACTTCTCTATTCCCTGCAGATGGCAACTGAGGCCACAAAGGGATGCAACTCATCCTACGACACTGAGGATTGTCCTTGGTTTCCCAAAGACAGTTTGATTTGAACCTGGGCTCTGGGGGCCCTGGGAAGAGGTAGAGGGCAGTTCCCACCCTAGATTTAAAATGCCAGATCCTGCATTCCAGGGCTGCCTTATAAAGCCAGTATGTGGACCCCCCTCCATCGAAGCCCCATCATGTGTACTGCCAGAGGGAAGTGTGAACTGGTGTCCATAGAACGGAGTCAGAGAAGGCTTTTCCAGCTCTTCAAGCCCCAGGGCAGACATGGCAGCAGGGCTGTGGCCCTGCTGGTGGTGAGCAGGGTTGGTGGCTCTTGAAGGGAGGGCAAGGTTCCCTCATGTGCCAGCTTTGCCCTAGGTTCTTGGCTGGGGACTCCAAGTGTGGCCTTTCAGTGAACTCAATGGTTCTACAAGCTCCCCAGTAAATATTTTTTTGACAAAGTCCTTCTCCACTCACCTGGCAGAGCTACTTCCTAACAAGCTGCGGAGCCTGGCTTTGGATCCTTGTTCAGTTATGAGCAAAGTCCCTTAATTTCCCATTGTCTCAGGTTCCCCATGTGTGGTGTGAGGACCATCAGCAAGTCCCTGACTTATGGACACTTGAGTGGTGAATTTGCATGGATACGAGGGGACTAGTGTTATATAGATTTGAAAAAAATCACAAAAGTAGTTCACATGTCTATAGGACAGTGTCACAGTCGGGCTGCCTTGTGCTTACTGTACCGTGCACAGTATATAGTAGCACAGCCCTCAGTCAGAGCCCAGCATGCAGAAGCAAGAGGAAAAGCAGAGGTGATGTGGAGTTTTGGTGTCCTGATGTTTTTACATTGTAATTTGTGTCAAAGGTGTATAACACTCACTTTGTCAGACATAGAAATGAATCTGGCTTATGGACGTTCTCCTGGAAAGGAACTCATTCATAAGTTGGGGGCTTACTGTACTAAGTCTTCGTTAGCAGGTGGGTATAAGAATTACATGAGTTAGATGACTACAGACACAGTCAGGCCTGGGCTGATGCTGGCGGCAGCACTGGAGGGGACACACAGACACTGACCTGGTTCTGCGTGACACGTGTGTGTGACCTTGCACAAGCCCCTTCCCTCCCCTGGTTGCAGCTGCATCTGAAAATCATCCCTGGCTGAGGCCAGTGAAGGTTCTGACCTGCCGTCCCAAACTCACTCCCACACGACCTGAAGCCAGAGACTTGCCAGGTGCCTTCCCTCCCCTCACAGGGGTCCCCCAGGCTTTCCCACCCAGCACAGCTTCCCGGGCACTCCTGCCCTGCTGTCCCTCCAGCTCCTCCAAGTCAGCACAACCCACACTGTGTTCAGTATCTCCCTGTGCACCTGTGTTGCCCCTGACACCCCCATGCTTCCTTGTCAATTCCAGTGCCCAAAGTCCCTTGCAGTGGTGCCCTCTTTTTTGCCCACAGCTCTGCTCCACCTCAGGGAAGCTTCAGCCACTGCCTTACCAGCTCTCTCCCACAGACCTGAGGTCCTCTGCCCACAGGCTCACCCCAGGCTATCATTCCTGTAGACGGTGCTGCCCCATGATAAGAGTGAGGCTGTGGGTCCCCTGGCCATGCTGGGTCAGAGGAGCTGGTTAGAATCTTGAGCAAGTTAGGTCCTGATGCTGAGCCTCCTCATTTTTGTCTGCAATGTGGGAATGAAAGCCATGTGTCCCTGGAGCGTGTTTTCTCTTGACACATGTGTCAGCCTTGCACAAATCCCTTCCCCTCCCCTGGCTGCAGCTGTACCTGAAAACTGTCCCTGGCTGAAACCACTGACGGTTTTGACCTGCCCTCCCAACCTCACTCCCACATGACCTGAGGCCAGGGACCTGCCTAGCCTGCACAGTAGGTGTTCAATAAATTGGCCAAACAATAGTGTGCTCAGCTCTGCTCTGAAGAAGGGACCCAGGCCATACCCTTCTCCAGAGGGACTCCCTTTTCCAGGCAGGGCTCCAGCTGGGGTGGGGCTCTTTTAGACTCCAGGATATGAATTAAGAAGGTTCATTACCCCACTTGCCCTGACAGGGCCTAATCTCATCTCCACTGCCCCACTCCAGAAAGCTCACAGACTACAGAAATAGAGTTTTATAATGTTGGGAGTCAGGGAGAACAACTTGCTCACACCCCTCCTGGGTGCAGGATGTCAGTTCCTTCCAGGGAGATCTGCTGTTATTCATGGACAGGAAGCATGTTCTGGTGATGCCAAAACCTTCCTCAGCACTGTGCCTCCCTCTGCCAGCCCCTTCTGTGAGGAGCACCGAGCCCTGGATTCCTCAGAGCATGCTGCTCCCTGGGCTGCCAGAGCCCTCAGCTGGTGTGGCCAGGGGAGTGCAGCTCCACTGGGAATCAGGCGCTGCCACCTTGCCTTCTATTCATCACTCAGCACGGAGACCAGGCCACAACTTTGGAGAGCAGGACAGGCACGTGAGCACGCACATGTGTATGTGTGAGGCGGAAAGGCTCACAAGGAAGAGGACTTTGTGATGCCCAGGCATGGTCTCAGGGTTGCTTTACTGTGGGGAAGGGCTGCATACAGGAGAGTGGTGTTCGGGCAGGCCAGGGATGGCTACACCCAGGCATCAGACAGACCTCATGCCCGGCTCTTCTCAGACCTTTCACCCGGTACAGACAACACGCACACATCCCCCACCCCTCCTCCAGAACCGGCCTCAACTGAACATCCCAGATGGAGGCTGGGTACCTCCAGGTACCCATGTGCTGACCTCCTCGCCACAGTCAGGCCAACATGGGATTTGCTAGGAAGAAGGAGTGTGAGATTGTTCTCCCTTGGTGAGGGGGCGCAATGGTCTCAATTCAGACCCACACATGGCCTGGGGCTGCCCAGCAGTGATGCTGTCCACTCTCCTGACTCACCACTCACAAGGCCAGGCTTGGATATCGGGTTAGGAAATAGATGACACCCATGCCCTGCGGCTCCCCAGTGGCTATGGTCTGCATGTTCACCCCATCTTTCCAGTCTCTAGCCTTCCTTCCTTCCTCTCCAATAGTAAAGAACCTGATCATGGCCCACACCCTGTGGGCACAGGGTTGCAGACAGTGCTGCCTCTCCTCTAGGGTGGGTAAGCACTGCCTAAACAGAGATGGCACCCTCAAGGGGGAACTTGGGGCGCTGAAGCAACAGCGGAGGAGAGAAGGTGGACCCTAAAAGAAGTGTTTTCTTTTTCCCACGGAGCGCAGGAATTGTGGGCAAATCCTCCCTTTCTGAGGTTAAAAGCTCTGCGGGGTTGGGACAGAAGGTGCGCCCCAACATTTAAGGAGTCCTCAGGGCCAGTGATACAGGTACCGCAGCCCTTAGTGGGTCTCCAACACAGGGTCCAGAAACAACCCAACCCCGGAACAGCCTTCCTGGGGGCCTGGGTACAGTCCGTAGCCGAGGGTCGAAGGGCACTTACGGGTCGTGTTGTACTTGATGCCGTTGAAGTATTCGGGGCACGGCCTCTCCACTAGGGCTCCTGCTGCACTCCGGGGCCAGCATGTCCCGATCTGGTCCAAGGTTGTGTTGCAGTAGGAGTAGAGACCTGACGATGGAAGAGAGCAGGCAGAGCTCAGAAGAGTGCCCGGGAATGTCTGGGCACTCGGGGCTCCGGGCGCGGGGAGCGCGGGACCAGGCGCGCACTGAGCGCGCCGAGGAAGGAGTCCGCAGTGCCTGGGTCCACTCTTCTCGCGCCTACCCTCGGCGTCCAGGGGTGGCCCCCAGCCGTCTAAGAGCATCTCTTCGGCCAGCGCTAGGCTGCAGTTGGCCTCCAGCAGGCTGTGGAGAAGTGCCGCGTCCATTGCGCCCCGGAGCCGAGCGCGCAGAGGGAGTGGGAGGGCGCGCCGGCGAGGCTGCGAGGAAGTGGGTGCGAGGGGGAGCAGCCGAGAGGGCGCGGGTTCTCTACCCTGCTCGCCTTGCCCGGACCTTCCAGGCAGCCTCCTCAGGGTGCCGCGCCCCACCGCCAGGAGCCGCCAACCTGGACCTTCCGGAGAGCTGCGGCGGAGCCGAGCGCACAGAGCAGTGAGTCCACCCGCTCCGCCTCGGCCAATGGCGGCGCCCGGAGGCGGGGCCGGGTAGCTCTCTTCCCCGGCTCAGCCTCTAGCCCCCAGCCCCACTGGACGGCCTGGAGTTCTTTCACTCAGGACCCGCTCTCTTCTACTAGCAAAGTCTGAAGGGGAGTGACTGGGCCACGGGTTTGGGCAGGGGTTATTCGGGAGTGCCCCGTCGAGGACCGAGGACCGGAGGCTCCAGGACGCCAGGGCCAGCAAAGAGCTGCCGCACTAGTAACTCTCCTGCAGCTGCCCACACCAGGATCGCTACTAGCCAAAGTTGGGCTGCTCTGCCCAGGCCTGTATCTTCCCCGAGTGAGAAAGGGCACGCAAAGAGGCGGGGTCGTACGGGTGAGGTGCACATTCACACCCTGGAAAGGTCCTTGTCGTCTCTGGAGAGGAAATGGATTGGGGTCCCTCCAGGGAGACAGGAAGGTCACCCAAGAGTCCGGTGAGATCAGGTGGCCTCGAAGGGTAACTGTCTGCGTAGGCTTTGAGAGCTGGGATGGAGACGTGCTTCCCCCCTGGCTTTCAACCTGGGGAGGAGGGATTGGAGAGCCCAGTGGGTGGGCGGGAGAGCCCCTGTTCCAGGAGAGCCAGGGACAGCAGCAAATCTTCCATTTGGGGACTGAGGGATCAGTGCTGCCATTTAATGAGCTGGGGCATTCTAAGGGGAGGACTTGGCTATAATTAACTGAAAGACTGCGCACGCCCATCTCTATGCCTGGGGAACAGAGATCAAGTGAGAAGTGGGGAGGTGTCTGACTGTCTTTCTCCTGGCTTGGGCTCCTGTCTGGCTTCCTTATCAGGAGAAGGAAAGACATCAAACCCCTTTGTGGGGATGGGGAATTAAAATCCTTTATGGGGGATTTGCCCCAACCTCCCAGGTGCTTGCTTGGTACTGTGCTTCGTTGGGCCTGTACAGTCAGAGTGCTGGGGGTGGGGCTACCAACCATGCCCACCGCACGGACTCAGTCTCAGGATAGTGCCCCAGTGGGCGGTGTTCCACTCCCTCTGATCCTGGCGCTGACTCTTTTTCCTGGCATGATGCCTTAGGCAGGGGTCCCGCCGTGTCCTCTGGAGTTTTCTCTATCAGTGAAATGTTCTCTGAGGCCCTTTTCAGCCCTGAGTCTCTGCTTCTGCAGACTCTCTGTTCTGTCTCTGTCTTTCTATCTCTCTCTCACTCTGTGTGTGTGTGTGTGTGTGTGTGTGTGTGTGTGTGTGTGTGTGTGTACACCTGTATATGTGTCTTGTGTTTCTATCTTTAAGGATAGGAGAGGTAGGGTTCAGTTCCACTTGTTGTCCCTGACCCACGTCTTCACTGGGAACCTGTGAAAGCACCCCAAAACAACCCGGCCCCTGAGCAGAGAGAGATGGAAAGCAGGCCAGCTCCCTTTACTTGTTCATCTCACCAACCGCAAGTTAACTCTGCTGTCACTGCCCAGGCAGAGCAAGCAGGAGCAAGCAGTGGGGCCAAGTCAAAGCCCTGGAATCTCTCTATAGTCTGCCAACTGGCAAGGATAAGATGCCCAGCATCCAGCCAGGTCTGTCCTCTTCCTCTTGAATGGACAATTAGGGGCCTGCCTTAGTGCTGGGAAGCTACAGAGGCAAAGGTCCCATGGTGTCTACAAGAAGCAGTGACAGGAGCAGGGCAGGCTGGGTTGGATCCTAACCCCACCCTGAGAGCCAATCCTGACCTCAGCTAGGCAGAGGCCTGTTCCCAGCCTCCAGACTGAGCCATCCAGGGATCCACAGAGAACAGTGTGCCACTGCCTTAACTCTGGTCACTGGGAAAATCTCCTTCATGCACACAGGAAGGCCTTCCACATGCCACAGCATGGGTAAGGAGGGCACTGCACTATGCTTCGGTGACCGATCTGTACTCTGGTTATCACAGAGGGGAAATTGGAAAAGGTAGAAGTTTTGGAACAAATTAATTTTGTATTTCTCTTTTGTGTTTGCAAATAAAAAAATGAGGAAAAAATTGGAGACACTTTTCTCAATTAGACTAAATATAACTACAAGAAGACAAAATCTGGGGTCAGGGAGATAGCTTGGTGAAATAAGCAAATGCCTGGCAAACTCAAGGGCCTGAGTTCAATCCTTGCTTCTGCCAAGAAGAAAGAAAGAAAGAAAGAAAGAAAGAAAGAAAGAAAGAAAGAAAGAAAGAAAGAAAGAAAGAAAGAAAATCTGGGGTGTTTTGCTTATTAAAGAAACAAGGGTAGATGGGAGACCCCTAGGGTGCAGGAGGATTCTGAGGCCACAGGCCAGCCTGATTGTGGGCCCAGCCAGGCATGGGCTGGGGAGCATTTGAGAAGTCCTTGAGTCCTCAGGTAGGTGGGGACAAGGACATGTGGCAAGTAAGTTCAGGGGAGCGTGGCAGAAGGAGCACTGTGTGAGCAGCCTAGGATGAGGCTGCTGCTTAGGTGCCCTGTGCTCCTTCTTGGCCCCCTGCTGCCAGCTACATTGGCTGCAGGAAGTTCCAGGACAGCTTTCTGTGTATGCATAGTGTCAAGTACTCATTACAAGAAAAGCACAGCAGAATCCCACATGGTGCCACTGTCCCACACCCTGACCATGTTCAGCCCCCACCCTGCGAGTGTCATCTGGAAAGCAAAACTCATGGGGACAGCATGTGCCTTGGAGCCTCTGAGGAGCGCTCCTCTGAGAAGCTACACAGACAGCCTTCTGTGCTCACAACTGGGACCCAGTTGTGGGGTTTCCTGGGAGGGGCCATGGGTACAAGTGACTCAGGAGGACCTTGAAGGTACCTGCTCTTCACTGCACACTTCAGGCTGTGCTCCAGGTCAGACACTCTCTTGGGACCAAGGCAGTGGCATGATGTCTTCATGTTTGGCCATGGGGCCAGATCATGAAAAGCCCTTGGTGACCATCAAATTCCACAGTTTCCATTTACAGTTGGGTAGCAGAATGCTCAGGAAAAGGAATCTCCCTCTCCTACCCTACCAGACCTCTCTCATATCTGCAGCAGCCTGGGTGGGCTCTGTCTCTCACACACAGGACAGATAAGGAGATTTTATACAATTCAATTGTTATTTTTCCTATAAAGACACTTCCTATAAAGATGGAGTTGATGTCTTTGGTCTTGTAAAGAAGATTCTTAAAGATCACCTATCCTTCATCCTCCACCTCCTGCTAAATTTAAGGTGCCCTTTGGAACATCTTGCCCTTCCCTGGGGCCATATTATGCCTCTATACCTCTGCACCTCTGCAGTGCAGGGCCCTTGGCTTCTATGGCCTTCCAGCTCCACACTCCAGTTAGTCCAGTTCAATCCCACTCATCCACCAGCCATGCCCTCACTGCCTGCATCCTGTCTGGGTTGGGTGGTTGGCCCTGCAGCCTCAACTGGCCCATGCCACTTTAGTTGCTGGATTTTCCATTATCTTCTTGCTGATGTGTGGCTCCTTAATGACAGGGCCAGTCCTATTCTGTCATTGGCCCCAGAAGCCATCCAAGTACTCCAGCATTAGGTTCAGTGATCACACAGAAAGAACAAATGCCTTGGTACAGAGCTGGGTGAATGCAAGGTCCTGTCTCCCAGTCAGGGCAATCTCCATTTCTCTCTCTCTCTCTCTCTCTCTCTCTCTCTCTCTCTCTCTCTCTCTCTCTTTCTCTCTCTCTCTGTGTTGGATTCAGGAGTTATTGCTTCCTTTCCTTTTTGTTTTATTTTGCAGTGCTGGGGATGGATCCCAGGCCCTCATACATGGCAGGCAAGTACTCTGTTACTGAGCTGCATCCCCAGTCCAGGAAATTATCTCAGGAGATCCTTGGATCCATTCAGAGCCTTACTGTCTATGAACAGAATAATAATACGTCACATAGTATACATACTATTATTTTTCAAATATATGTATATGCCTCTGTGATGAATAAGTTAGAACTCACCCATTAAAATTCTGCCTGAAGTCCTACTCATTCTTGAGATTATGTGCATTTTTTCACTTATCTGGACCTTGGGGACATATAGTTGGATTACTCATAGTCTCTTATTCATGCACCCTTGCCACCATTAGCCCACACATGGCCTACATTGATTTTATTTTGGTCTTTCCTTTTATGAATGTTTGTATGTGGTAGCATTGGAACGAGCATATTGCCCAACCTGAAACTCAGTCATTACCACTCACTTATATGTGTATCCACTTCTTCCCCAGAGCGAACATCCATTTGCATGTTGCCCTTCTCATGTTCTTGCTCCCATTTGTTACAGATTTCTCCCAGGTACACATGTCTCAACAGCGCAGTGACTTCCCTGCCTTTGAACTTGGTGCTAGTCATTATGCTTTCTCTCAGTCAGTGTCCACTAGGGGATGACTATCATGAGGTGACTTGAGAAGTGATTTCTGAGGCCTGACAGGCATCCACCTCAGGGGCACAGCTTAAGAAGGATGACGTGTACCCACAGTGGCTGCTAGGCAGTGCCACTAGCGTCACTAGCAGTCTGGTAGATGAATATTTAATGATTTGGGGGAAATGTTCACTCTGACTTATTAGAGAAGAAGGTATGTTATAAGTCTACGGACACTGCATCTTTCTGGTTTTATTAAAAAAATATAAATAAACCCCAAATCAAGCAAAAGACAATCTGAAAACAGGCGTAGTGGCAAACACTCATGATCACAGATTTCTGGGAGACTGAGGCAGAAGGATTGAAAGTTCAAGGCCAGCCTGGACAACTTGGTGACTTAGTAAGACCTTCCATCAAAATAAAAAAAGGCTGGGGGTGTAGCACAGTGTGAAGACCATGGCTGGTTCAAGCCCTAGAACTCCATTGGTGGGGAGGCGACCTGAGGGTGTACAGATTCATAAACTTCTTGCTGAAGTGAGATGTGATAAAAATCCTGGCTTGTGAGGTAATGAGCATTGATTGATTCTTTGATTTAGAGGTTCCCCCCCCCAATTTTATGTACATAATATGGATGTCTTTTGTCAGTAGATGAAGGATGTCAGAAGACAAGCAGGGGAGGCCTGGGGTGGCAGAGGTGCTGACTCTAATCAGGGCAACAGAGGAGGGCCTGGGCCACCTGCTTGAGGGGAGGGCGCAGGTAGGGAGAAGGAGGTGGGTCTGCCTAGAACAGCGTGGCCTGAGGGCAGTCTGGTGTGGGAATGTCAGCACCTCCTCGAAGTGAGGGGTCTCTGTTTCCTGCCTAGTGGCTGCTGGACATGGCCATGCTTGGTGTCCCCTCAGTCTCTCATTTAACCTTCACATTAAGTCTCTGGAGGTAGACTTGGACCTGACTTCCAACAAATAAGGAGATGGAGGCTCAAGTCCCATTATGGGTTACATTGTGTCACTCCAAATTCATGGGCTGAAGTCCTAACTTCTAGTACCTCAGGATGTGGCCCTGGTGGGCCCCAGTCCAATATAACTTGTGTCCTTAAAAGAAGAGAAGACTGGGGACTGATGGGCACAGACAGGAGGACACATGAAGACAGAGAAAATGGCTATCTGCGAACCAGGGAGTAAAGGCTCATAGGAGAGCAACCCTGCCAACTCCCTGGTCTTGAGCTTAGCTTTCCAACTGTGCAAGAACACATTCCTGTTGACCAGTTATTTGGTTATAGAAGCCCTTGGAAACCAAGGCAGGGGACTTATCCAGGGTCACACAAGAGCTGTGATCAGACTGACGGCAGGGACACCTGAGCTCTTAACGGGCCCACTGTGTGGGGCCCAGGCAGAAAGATGCTCCTCTATGACCCCTGCCTCAGGCTGCCTTTGTTTGTCGGGCCCCAGGCCTGGCTGCCATCTTTGTCTCCCTGAGTCTTGATGGCTGCTCTAAGACCCAAGAACATTCATGACTCTCCCACCCTCCTCTTTGCTCTCAGCTTCTAGTGGACCTTAAACAACTCTCCCCAGAGCCACGTGCCCAGATCCCTCCTCAGTCCTTCAGGGCTGCCCTGACTCTGGGAACCAGCCAGGTGAAAACTCAGGCTTCAGAACTGAGGACCTAACTATATTGCCTTGTATGTCCTTACCAGCATGTTAGTATGGCTTGTGTCCAGATGTCCCCCACAGCCTCATGCAAAAATAAGAGACCCAAAAAAAGCCTCATGCAGTTAGTTATAGGTGGGTGTTGTCAGAGGTGGCTGAGTCTAGACTGTGTGAGGGATTTGGGGTGCAATGCTGGGATGAAGGGTGCTAGCCTTAAGGGTGGGTGGTGACTGAAACAGTCTGCTGGTGGATTTGGCACAACCTTAATCCCAGTAGCCTGGACAGACAATAAAAGGGGCAGAAAAAGCTGCCAAGGACTCTTGCTTGCTCTGCCACTTCTGCCTGCCATGAACTGCTTCTCTTCTCTGATGCTCCTCTGTGACACTCTCCTGCCTTGGAGCCAGCAGATTGCAGACAGAAACCTTTACAAACTAAGTAAACCTTTCCTCCTCTAACTTTGGGTTATTTTGCCTCAGCAATAATAACTAAGATACGGGGTGACACCTGTAGTCACGGCAACTAGAGATGGTTTCACACCTTCCAGTGCTCACCTGCCATCCGAGTTCGAGAGTAGAGGGGTCACTCCTCTGCCTCCGAATGCCTATCCAGCCTTGAGTGTGCATGGGAGGCTGGGAGTAAGAAGAGGGCTCCCTGCCAAACCTTCTGGCACTGCTGAAGAACTCTGGGTCCCCAAGTAGACCCTAGCAAGGAGAATTTGGCCCAGGACTGACAGCCAGTGCTCTCTGTATCACCCCACTCACTCTCCTCCCCAGGCTGTATGCCCCTTATCCCCAGGGTGGGCCGGAGGTGGGGGTGTGCATACCTGAGGGGTCAGCCAGGGACACCATGGTGAGGCAGTGCTGTTCCAGCAGGGGCCACAGGGGCTGTTCTTTGGGCACCTGGCTCAGCCTGGCCACCTAGGGAAAGCAAGGACAGGGTGGGTCAGAGGCCAGGCTTAGCAGCCGTGGGTAGCACATGCGTGCCCCAAGCCTGTTGTGTCACTTGACATTGAGTCCTCTCACCTCTTCTGACTTATGAGAAACTGAGGCAAGGCCACATGGCACAGCAGTGGTCTGGCTTAGCCTGAAGCCCTGAGGAGGCCACATGACCTCATGCAGTGGTGCCTCCCAGGCAGGACTTTGGCTCTGTCCCTCACCCCTAAAGCTGTCTTTTCCTCTACAGGATGTGACATGTCCTTGGGATAGTGCCCATGTCCTGTTAGCAGAGCTGGGTGGGGCTGTCTCCTAGCTGTTCATCCCTGGGGATGTGTCTGTGGAACACAACCGTGTGTCAGGCCCTGGCTAGGGGACCTGTGAGTACCCTCAGGCCAGGTAGCTATCCCTTAGACTTATCAGGAGCGGAAGGGAGGACAGCAGCAGGTGACTTCAGTTAGCTTTCCTTCATGCGGATAAACACAAGAGACATCTTACAGGACCTGGGAAGGCTGGAAAACTTTCCTGGAAGAGAGGGAACTTCAGGGGCCACCAGAACAATGGGTAGTGGGAAGCGAGGGGTAGTGCACTCGTTCCAGGGTCTGCTGGGAGCCCCTTGGGCATCAGTCCACCATCTTCTGGGATGAGCTGGATTGGGATTAGAGGGATGTGCTGGGCCAACTTTGCATCTTTGATTCCAGCTGCTTCTCTAAAGGCAGTTGCCATATTTGTGGTCCCACTGCCCAGGTGATTTTCTGCTTAGCACTGGCTTTGGTTAAGGGTACCTTTCCCAGAACTCTGGTGACGTGGGCTGTCCTCACCACAGACACATGGTCTCAGACTATAGCCAGATCTTCTAACAGGGGTGACACAAGGTCACCAGGCTAAGCATCCGTGAGTGCTGCATGGGCTGGGTGACAGAGACAAGCATACTAGAGGGGACAACTTTTAGATCCTAGCTCTGGCTCCTGTAACTCCTTGCTCTGCCGACCTGAGAAGTTGGCACAATCAGAGATCTTCATTCTCTTCCAGAGAACATGTGTGGCTTTGACTCACACCAGCAAATGTCTATCTCAGGTGGAGCCCCTGGTGGCTTAGAGATGGTTGAGCAGCAAGGAGAGGAGGTGGGGCTCACACAGTCCCACTCCAAGGCTTGCAAATCGAGCTCTCAGAGGGGGTCGCATACAGACATCGTGCCTGTGGGGTCCTGGAGGTGCTGCATCTCAGCTGTGCAGCCTTGGCAAAGCAAGTTCACCTCTCTGGGCCTTAGTCTTTTCATCTTTAAAACAGGGATAAGGGCCGGGGATGTGGCTCAGCAGCATGTGTGCCTGCCGGGCAAGTGCATGGTCCCAAGTTCAATCCCCATAACAAAAAAACAAAAAGCAAACAAACAAACAAAAAAAACCCCACTAAAACAGCAATAGTACCAGCACTGTAGAACTTGTGAGTATGTTTAATGTCTATATGTCAAGAGCCTGGTACATAGCAGTCATGAGCCGGATGAAGGCTCTTGCCAAGGACTTCAGGGGGATTTCACTGGAGAACCCAGGGCTGGGGCACCTGAAGGCTCCACTAAAGTGCTTCTCTGGAAAGGCCCCCTCCCTCACCTACTCTCCAGCAGTGTGGCCCCCTCGACTCCCAGGTCTCCTCCTGTGGACACTGGCATTCTGAGGACACAGCCTGCACCTGTCTGAGCTCAGCCCATGCCATTGCAGTGAACTCTTGTGGAGGACCTGAGGGCTCTCGGTTGGATCTCAGAGCTGCGTCCATAGGTGGGGTGGTGGGAGAGTGGGGAAAGCCACCCCAAGGCAAAGCAGAGTGAGCAAAGGCTGGAGCCAAGAGGGCACAGGGTCTGTGTGGGGGCAGCTGCATCTGGCTTGGGGGTACCATTAGGGCAGCAGTGGGTGAGCAGGAAGAGGATGCCTCTATTATGTGGGATCAAAGGCTATTATGTGCTGCATCTGGCTCCAAATGCTTTGCATGAGAACGTTCATCTAGGACAGGGGAGCTAGCTCAGCAGCTCAGTTGCCTGCCTGGCAAGTGCAGGATTCTGAGTTCCTGAGTTGGATCACCAGTACCAAAAAAAGACAGTTCATCTAGTCACCTCCCAAGGCCACACAGCGGGTAAGGGACAGAGGCAGAATTCATGCCCATACAGTCAGGTATAACACAGATTGGAAGAGGTGGTCCTGGGCAAGGAAGTGAAGGGCTGTGTCTATGGAGGCTGCAGTATCCTGCTATGGTTCAGTTAAATGTCCCCCGAGGCCCACATGTCAAAGCTTTGTCCCCATCTTGTGTTGCTACCAGGAAGGGGGGGAAACTTTAGGAGGTGGAGTTTAATGGAGGAAATTGTGTCACTGGAGGCGTGTGTTTGCAGGGAACCCCGGGCTCCTCCTTGTCTCTTCTACCACCTAGCTGCATTGAGGCAAGCAGTTTCCTCTGCCTTAGGTTTCCACCATGGTTTTTCTGCTTCTCCGCAGGCAATGGAGCTGACAACTGTGGAGCAAGCCCTTGGAGACCATGAGCCATAGTAAACCTTCTTTCCTTATAAGATTTGTGTTGGTGTCAGGTATTTTGTCACAGTGATGGAAAGTTGACTAACAGAACCAGAACCCCAAATGGGTGGCTGTAAAAGCCACAGTAGCAGGAAGCCCTTCTCCATGCATGGAGGAGCAGGGCTGGGGAGCTTGAGAGCTAGGTCCAAGCAGATCCAGTCAGCTGGACAGTGAGATGAGAGATTCAGTCTGTAACCTCAGAGTCCCTGAAAAACCCTTCGTACTCTGGGGATTTAAGAAGAAATATATTGGCCTTAGTCTCCAGTTCCTGACACAGGGCTTCTGAAACCTTTGTAATTTCCTGAGTGAGAGTAGCGTCTTTCTCTTAATGAGGCAACTCTGGGTGAGCTTCTGGATGGGGGTGTCACTGAGAGACCAGACTGTGATTGTAAGTTCGGAGCTTTCAGTCCCTGCCCCTGAGGAAGGGAGAGTGGCTACAGAGATAGAGTTATCCACTATGCTATGGAACGGAGCCTCCATGAAATTCCTAAGAGATGGGATTTGGGAGACCCCAGATCGGGAAACACATGGAGGTGCAGGGAGGATGGTAGCCAGAGGAGGCGTGGCAGTGTGGCCTTCCCATGCTGTGTCCTGTGCATCTTGTCACCTGTGTCCTTTGTCATATCTTTTATAATATACCAGTAAGTGTAGTTATAAATGATTCCCTGAGCTCTGTGTACTGCTCTAACTCATTTTTAGACCCAAAGAGGGGTTGTGGTAAAATAGAATAGATATCCTCATGGGACCTAAGGCATAAATGGTCATGCCCTGTTACCCACCAAAGATGGACTCACCCCCTTTCCTCTGTCCTCCCTTTATAGAAATGCATGAAATGTGCCCTCACCAAGCCTGGGCCCCTCTGAGGTCCTTAGCAAGCTGCAGAGGAGACCATACTGCCAGTTGTCTTGTGTGCTGGGGATTATGCTAAGGGCCTTAGTCATTTACTGGGGAAGTTTTTTATGGACAGGAAATGGAAGTTCTGAGAGGGTGAGCAATACAAGTGAGATGGCCCCAAGCCAAAACTTCTTGAGCAACACTTCTTTTTGGATTTTGGAATTTTTTAGAGAGATATCCAACCAGTAAAGTCAAGGCAAACGTTCCAAAATCCATTATAACTCTATAACCTGAAACACTTTTGGTCCCGAGCATTTCAGAGAGGGAATACTTGGCTTGTACATCCAATGCCTTGGGGTCTGACCTTTTGAGCACCTTGTGTCCCTCTGGAAATCCCAGGAGCCCACCAGCCTTCTTTCCTGAGCCAGGTGTCCTGTACCAGGCAGGAGTGCCAGGCTATCTATAAGGGTGAGAATGGCTATGGATCCATAGCTTACACTAGGGGGAACTCCTGTAAGACGTGAAGCAGTTCTGCTGGCCCAATGGGAAGTTATCCCCCAGCCCACACCCAAGGAACCCTAAAAGCTAATCCTGTTCTTTTGTCACCAGGACCCTCTGATCCTCTCCATCAGAACTGTGTTCCCTTAGCTCCTCAAGCCAAAGTCCCTTCTGTGTTTTCTCTTATTCAGACCACCTAATAGATCTGCCTGTGCCTCCCACCAGTGTGTCCTGAAATTCCCTTCTGTAACAGGAGTTGACAAACCTACTTCATGGTGTGGGAGGGCGAGCTGAGCCCCTGGTCTTCACTTTGGGGACCTCCTTGGGCTCTCTCCAGTGACAGGACAATTCCATGATTTCCATCTGAATTGAGCAAAAGAACCTTGGGCTGGTTGGTGATGGTGGGAAGCTGTGATTTGTAGTTGTTCTGTTAGTCAAAAGTATGGAAGCTGGGACTGAGAAGGGTATGGCCTTGCCAGACGGGGCCCTCACCTGTGGGCTTTAGGCATCCTCCACATAGACAGTGTCAGCTGGTGTCCCCAAGGAATTGAAAAACGGCTTGGTATGGAAGAAACCTCACTTTTGATGTCAGAATGTGTGAATGAAGAGAAAAAGAGTTTTCCTTGTACCAGTTCTGATGAGAACATTTTGGACATTGAAGGGATTGGCTCTGGCTGAGGTAGGAGCAGAGAGCTGCCCTCTATCTCCATCCCTACTTGACAAAGCTGACCATATCCCAGAGTCCACATCTGTGTCTCCAATTCCCAGCCCAGAGCCTGGCCTACAGCAGGAACTCAACAAACAACTGCTGACTGACTGACTGGCTGGCTGACTGACTGACTGACTGACTGACTG